TAACACACAGACCCAGGATGGGTTTATGACAAGCTATATCATGGGCCCTGCATGGAGAAAAGGGATGGGGGATGTAGTGAGGAGAGTAATTAGGTGAGACTGAGTAAAAATGCTGGCTGGATCCAATCCATGCTATGCAAGTCAATCCCATCTGCATACAGTTCTGCTTAATTTTGCATTCTTTGTCCTGTTTCTGCTAAGGAAAGCATCAAAGAGCTGTGTGGGTTGTGGAGGCCCCAGCCCTGGACCCTGACTGCTGGAGATTATGCTCAGTTGCTTTTTGAGACACTCACTATTTTTGTTACCAGTCCCTATTTCTATTTACCGATTGCTGTTTAACTACTTGCTTTTCCAAATTTCTCTTTAAACCCTGCCAATTACGAAGAAGTGTAAAGTGAAAAAGAGATAGTGAAACTGACAGGCACATGCAAAATCAGACCAGTGAAGGTTACTAAATACATCAGTTAGGCTGATGCTTGAATAGAATGTAAGAATCTTCATAAAGGGAAGGAAGAGAGGCGGGATGACAGTGGGAGTTAGAGAGAGCAGCAAAGAGTTTGTTGAAACAGCCTGCACTTGTAATCCATCGTGGAAAGACTAGAATGATATCTACTTTTGGGCTAGACTCAACTTGCCAGGTTCATCCTGGTGACCAGTGGGAGACTGGGGGTGGGGTGGAGATATGGAAAAGTGAACATTGGCAACAGTGCAACATCACTTCCAGTAAGTCCTCTTTAGGAATTGACTGAAACACTATGATAAAACCATGGAGTTTTTCAGCATTTCCTAGAGAGGACTAATGTCACTTCCAGATTTTCCTGGAAGTGATGTCATTACTTCTGTGCTGCTGCTCTTTGTTTTTTTGTTTTTCTGGTTTTCCCCTGTCACTGCTTGGAGCAGCAGTGGACAATGGGAGCTCTAGGTGGGGCATCCCCCTCCCCAGCCAAGGGGAATACCATCCCTATCCAGAGGGCATATAGCAACCCTAGGCTGGAGCCATGATGATGTTTGCCAACCCAAAAGCAGAACAAAAGGTATGTAAAAAATACAATAGTTCTATCACAGTATTAATTGCGCAAGCTATAAGCAATATACATTCATTTTTATATTTTTTATTTATTTATTCGATTTATACCCTACCCTCCCTGCCAAAGTAGGCTTAGGGGAGGACAATGTGAGAACAATCAAGTGAAGGTTGGTTGGTGTGTACGCATAAAGTCAAGCTTCAGGGGTGCTCTGTAGGTGAATCAAAAAGGAGACATAAGATTTTGTGAAGTCAGCCCAGTTCATCCTGTTGTCAGATACAGAGACTGTAACAGCGTCAAAGAGCGGCTGTTTCACGGCATAAAACTAGGCTCGCCTCTGAGTGTACACTCAACACGGAACTGCAGCCAGTTCTGGTTCCCAAACGCAACACTAGATCATGCTGCATTCACACATTATATTTTCAAGCACAGACTTTCAAACTTCTTAACTTACTTAGAAGTATCATGTGTAACACAAGATTATTAGCATGAACTATCTTATTCCTCTGCATTCCTTCAGTCCTTCATTCTTCTTAACACTTAAGGTTGCCGATCTCCAGGTGGTGGCTGGAGATCTCCCAGAATTACTACTCGTCTCCAGACAACGGAGACCAGTTTCCCTGGAGCAAATGGCTGCCTTGGCAGGTGGACTGTGTGGCATTACACCCCACAGAGGTCCCTCCCCAATCTGCACCTTCTCCAGGCTCCACCCCCAAGTCTCCAGGTATTTCCCAACCCAGAGCTGGCAACCTGTACACTCCACCGCAACTGCTCATGAAGAAACAGACAGCCCCTGACACAAGAAGGTAGATGTCATAGAAATAGTGATCAAGCCCGCTTCACTGGGCATCAGATTGATCACTCAGCACTTCTTCCCCAAAGTGGCTTGGGGACGTTTAATTACCTGCCTGAAGGCACCTTCCAGGTGCTTTTCTCTTGTGATGGGATCTGCTTTATTTCTCCCAGGGAAGCTTCTTCCCAGCGCTCATTATGCAGTGGGCTGGCTGGCTTCCCTAGTAAGTGTTTGATCACAATCGTCACCCAGGCAACACCGGTTCCGCCAATGGAATGACAGCATTGATGTACAGGCATTCCATCCTGCTTAAAAGAAATGTGCCGCTGAAGAACGGTTTGTTGTGCGCATCAAATGTTATCACTGGGCAGAAGGAGAGGCCAGAAGATCACTGCCAATTTCGAAGTGGTGCAGAAGGATCTTTACCCTCTCTGCATTGCTAAATGTTGGCTGGGCAGTGTTGGAAACAGAAAGCAACATGGATTTTGGCCTCATCTATCAGGGCAGTAAGGAGCTGCGGTGGCTCAAGTGGTTAAGACGCTGAACTGCAGGCTGTGGAAGGTCGGTAGTTCAGCAGTTCGAGACCTGAGTTGCTGCATGACGGAGTGAGCTCCCGTCTCTAGTTCCAGCTCCTGCCAACCTAGCAGTTCGAAAGCAAGAAATTGCAAGTAGATAAATAGGTACCACTTTGGTGGGAAGGTAACAGCGTTCTGTGCGCCTTGGTGTTTAGTCATGCCGGCCACATGACCATGGAAACGTCTTCAGACAGCGCTGGCTCTTCGGCTTTGAAACGGAGATGAGCACCGCAACCCTAGAGTCGGATTCGACTGGCTTTCGAGCAAGGGAACCTTTACCTTTTATCAGGGCAGTCCCATATTGGGGGGGGGGGGGGACGACCCTGAAAGCAACAGTACTGTACCACTAATAAACCACAGGGAGGTATGTTAGTTTGTTGTGGCCAAAACCACCAAGGTATGGTATTGGTCAAAGTGGATTTTGACTCACAAATGTTTATGTTACAATAAATGTGTTAGTCTTTGAGATGCAACAAGATTTTTTCGCTGTTTTAGAAGTATTGCGTTCATCAGGACCAGCTATAATACTTCTTTACTAATTTGTAATGATTGAGGCCTGATTTCAAAGAAAGAACTCACCCATGCAACTTTGCACTCACGTAACGTCTTTTTTAAACTTGGCTGCTACCCATGCAAAGTAACTAATCACAATGCTAGCATGACTCCCATCTGTCAGAATTACACTGGATCTCCACACTACAAAAATGAGCTCCCCTGGAGAAAATGGAAGTGTTAAAGGCTGGAGTCTATGACATCACTTCCCCACACCAAGTCCCTTCCCTTTCCCAGACTCTGCTCTTCCCAGGCACCACCTCCCAATCTCCAGGATTTTTCCAGTCTGGAGCTGGCAACTCTACTTGTACATCTCTGCGCGAGCCACTGCTCTGGTCTTTCTTCAGCTAATTAGATGAGTTAATCCTGCAGACACATGTGGGGGGGGGGTAGGCTCCCCGGCAGGTGGGCATTTTTTGTTCTCATTCTAAAAGTATCCCTGTAAGAGTTAATTCTGCTTCCAATTTTAGTGTTTTTTAAAGTATTTTTCGGAACTGTGAAATTATGACCACATGGTTTTTAATGTGACACTTGTAAAAACACCCTAATTTTTTTCCCCATTTCTACAGCTTGTGACAGGAAATCTGGGTTTCAGCTTTAATCAATTTCCAAGCTCAGACCCACTTCCTTTGCAGTGAGGTGCTAGATTTCCCACAGCAAGCGGGTGGGGTGCTTTGTAGAGAGACTGTTCTCTCACTCCCTGCAAAAGACAAACTCAGACAGGAAGCGTGATGAGTTGGTCATGGGCTAGCATGTCCAGTTCTGTCACCCTTTGCAATTTGCTGTTTTAGTCATTCCTATGACATCCCAGAATTGATGAAGGTAGTTCTCAGGTGGCAGGCATATTTGTCTGCTTTTTCTTTTCCCTCCAATCCTTATCGGCTAAGATACCAGTGAGAACAATTGTGTATTTGTTCTTCTCAAGCTACAAAGCAAACAAAGGTGACTTTGAAGTTTGCCAGAGCAGCCAATGACATGGAGACTTTGAAGAGAGGGTTCAGTCTTTTCAGGGTAATGCCCAGGAATTACAGAAATGTACCCATGCTTGTGGGCTACTCTCACCTGCAAACTCTTGATCTCTTTGGTTCAGCATCCACATATTAGTACCTCTTTGCCTTGAAAGCAGTTTAAAGTGGGAGCTGGGAAAAGGAACTTTAAAACATCTTCAAATATATTTTGGAAAGGACTTTGGAGTGATATATTACATCTAATGAAGAGCTGATGCAGCAGAGAGACTAGAATTCTGAGTCTGGACCCAAGTCCTGTGTTCAAACGTCACTGCAATCATGAACTTGCCTACCTTTACAGAGTGGCTGCAAACATTATGTGATGTGAAGTTTTCAGTAACAGCAGCAAAGCATATGAAGCCCTCCCGAAGGAGGTCTGCTTGGCAGGCTTATAGAATTGCTTAAAACTATTCGTTTTTCTTTTTGTCTGTCTCCAATTTAATTGCTTTTGTCAGTTATTTTGAAGTTTTTAGTTCTGATTGATCTTCAACTTCTAGATGAATGTTGGAACACTCAGGTATTCTCTGGATGCTTTAGCAAATTTTGCATGCATAAACATTGAAATCATGAGAACTAGAGTTAAAACATGAAAGTAGAGAGTCACTTCCATGTAGGGGAAAGTGTGTAAATTGCACATAATTATTTCACTATATACAGACTCCAGAAAGCAACACCCCCCCATTGGGTACATGCCATGAAGCAGGCGCATTCAACGGTCATGCTGTTTCGGACACAGAAGAAGTCCTTTTTAGTGGAGGTAGTTTGGTATCCTTTCAAGGGGGCAAAGCACCGTGTAATCTTTAACTGTGCAAATTCCTAAATCCATCTCCTTATTTTTCCCTGAGAGGAAACCTAGTTCCCAGTAAAAAGAAGGGACATGTGAGCAAGAGGTTGTTTGTATCCAAAATGGGCAGAAAATGAAATTGTTATGGCTCAATGACTCAGCAGGGCCCTCCCTTTCATTTTAAAGATTTTTTCCTCAAGCCTCAGAGAGTTAATTATTGAGATCAAGGAGAGCAGGCATAACAACTCCTTTTCTCCTTGGCTATGGCTCACTGGAATCTCTCTCTTCTCTTCGGCTCCACAGTCCTTTGGGCCACGCTGATTCCACGCAGTGCCTTTCCGACAGGGGCTCCTGCCTCGGCCTGTGAGAATATGTTACCTGTGCACACTGGGGTCCAGCCCCAACAAACTCGGTCTCCCTATGAATTTCTGGTGAGCTCACCGTCTTTCCTAAATGGGCAACCAATTAACAGTAAGTGCCTCTTTCTAGCTTTTGTTGAAATCTTTTGCTTCAAGCCTATAATATCAGAACGACCAAGTGAGGAGATTACTTTTATCATCCCTAATTCGTTTGGTTATGCTAGTAATTGAAGATATTTCCTTAATAAGCACTAAGGGCTGGAGAATGTTTCTGACCTGGCTTTTGATGGCTGGTGGCTACTAGGTAGGGTTGCCAACTCTGGGTTGTGAAATTGCTGGCAATTGGGTGGGTGGGTGGCAATGTTCCCTTTAAGCTGTGGAGTCTTGTGAGCAAAAATTCTACTTTGTGAGCTACTGGCATTAAAGTTGTGAGTGAGCCATTTGGCTGCTACATAAATCAGTTTGCTTTGGAGCCATCCTTCCTGAGCTAAGACAAAAATGTGTGAGCCGGAGGCTAAAAATCTGTGAGCTGGCTCACACTAACTCAGCTTAGAGGGAACTATGGTGGGTGGGTGGGCAGGGTTTGGGGAGGGAGGGAGCTTACCCGGCTGTAATTTCATAGAGTCCATCTTCAAAGTAGCCATTTTCTCCAGGAGAGCTGATCTCTTTGACCTGGAGACCAGTTGTAATTCCAGGAGATCTCCAGCTACCACCTGGACAATGGCAACCCTAGATTAGTTTGGAAGCTTTAAGGGAAGATGGCTGAAAGGGAAAATCATCAAAGGCTACAATAAATCAAATAAATAAATAAATATTTGCTTTAGGGGAAAGTACTGCTGCTTTATAGACTAGCACTGAACATCTGGGCATGCACACCTCAACATTACAGACCAGTTATTACGAAACGGTGGCTTGGATCCCACAGAAAATCTTCACTGAGGGAAGGAATTTCCTCACTTTCTTTGGCACACTGTAGCCCATAATACCCCATGAAATTCTGTTGGCGGACAATGCTCCTAGCCTGGCTGCATATTAGAAGGTCAGATTGACTAGTTTGGTGTAGTGCCAGTTTGGTGTAGTGGTTAAGTGCGCGGACTCTAATCTGGGAGAACCAGGTTTGATTCCCCATTTCTCCACTTGCACCTGCTGGATGACCTTGGGCAAGCCATAGTTCTGTCAGTGCTGGTCTTGAAAAGAGCAGTTTCTGCCAGAGCTCTCTCAGCCCCACCTACCTCACAGGGTGTCTGTTGTGGGGAGGGGGAGGGAAAGGCGTTTGTAAGCTGCTCTGAGATTCCTTTGGGTAGTGAAGGGCGGGGTATAAATCCAATCTCTTCTCTTCTTCTCTTCTCTTCTAGTTAAAAGCATTTCTAATGCTGTCCATCCTTCAGGGCAAGTTGCAGCCATTTTAAAAACACAAAATGTAGTAAACAAAGCCTCCAGCCAAGAAAGCAGCTCTTAGTTTCTCTTGTATCAGAAAAGTTAAAACCAACATAATTTGGAAAAAGAAAACAACCCAATTTAAGACTGAGGCTGGCCAGACCCTTGGGAAAAGGATGTTTGAAACAGTGAAATGCCAGCAAAGATAGGGTGAAGTGGACCTCCATTGGGAGGGAATTCCAGAGCTGTGCAGGCACTGTAGAGAAGGCTTGGTCTCCTGCAGCACATATCAGATGGTGGGGCGCATAGAGAAGTCCCTCTAGGGTTATATAACCTTTTCCCACTCAGATTCACTCAGTTCCCTTCTCCTTACTGCACCTCATAGGCTTTTGTCCATGCAAAGAGCAATACTCTTCAGAATCGCCTTTTTGTGGTTAAAGTGGAGATCCCTCCCTTTTTCAGCAGCAGAAAAGGTGATTATATCGAGCCCCGATTTCAGTCCCGAAGTCTATAGGAGGTGAAGTAAGATAGTCTGAATGTGGCACTGGTGACCAAGCTGTCTTGCTGGAAAGTTTTTTCTTCATTAAGAAACCCATGATGTGCTTTGAAGGAACCCTGGATATGTTTGGGTATTATAGATTAATCCAGAGGACCATAGTTTTCTATGCTTGAAAGAGCACTCAGACATGGTTCACACGTGCAGGAGAATTAGATGGTAGAAGGACACGAGGTGGTAGAATAACATACTAAAAATGTTGAGCAACTAAAATAGATTTTGCCATGTCAGCCTTGCACTGTTAGATGAAAACTAGCACTTAGATGAAAGGCCTCCTCTCTTTGTTGGCTGTGCTAGTTCTCTATTTGCAAGGAGGCTAAAATAGATTTTGCCATGTCGGCCTATGGGGTGGGGGTGGATACTAGCTTTGAATATTCCTTGAAAGAAAGAAAACTAGCACTGTTAGATGAAAGGCCTTCTCTCTTTGCTGGCTGTGCTAGTTCTCTATTTGCAAGGAGTCCTTAAACGTCAGTGAACATTACAAAATGTGATCCTCTATCCTCCGTTTGTTTTATGAAGTGGCATGATCCGTTCTACCACCCTGAGTCTCTGCCACCTCATTGCCCGTTCCATGTATGAGCCCAGCCTATGGCAGTTTGATGAGTGTGATCTTTGGCTTGGAGCCAATCAGAATTTCCTGTGGGTGGTAGGGCTTCTGCCCATGGATCACGACTTTCCTACTTTCCCATCTCCCACTGCAGCCTGAAATACCCCCTTGAAATGCTGGCACACACCCCCGGTCCATGTAGATCTGTGTGACAGGATCCATCCCCCTGTTCTCTCTTTAGTTCAGATCCTTGGGCCTGCATACAGAGGACTGTTGTTAGAGGCTCGCTCATTTGGATCCAACACTGCACTGGGCTTTTGGAAGACTCCACCCAACAACACAAAATTCTTGCAGGTAAGAGACACAAAGTCATTCCTCTTTTCTAGCCCAGAGGTCCTGAAATTCAAGCAGAAAGCCTACAGATTGAACTGTACAATTCTAAAATAATGGATTCAGTTTGGTTTTAATTGGTTCTGCCACCCATGTTTTTCTTAAATATTATTCGATCGTCTGGCTCTTATATGGCACCCCCAATGTCCCCCCTTCACAACTTCTGACTAGGTCCCCATCTTCATAGTTTCAGTAAATTGGCTGTTATCTGATGTTCTCAGACTATTCACTGGTTCCAGGGATGGAAATTTCTTACCAGTACTGTCTTCTTTTAGTGGGCTTGAAGCAGAGGAAGATAACGTACACCCTGCTGGGTTCCCTGATGCTGTGCAAATGAGCTTGGCCCCCACAGCCATGCTCTAGTGAATTGGCTAATGATGGCAACTTGTTTAGCCCAAAGGGCTGTGCTAAAACTGTTTCATAAACCGTACATAATTTTATTAACATAAGTGGAAAACGGAATGCTATTAGATTGCCATGATATTTGGAGGGACCAGCCAGCAGGAGAGACCAAGGGCCCTGCAACTACTACTTCCACATCTCTGCAGAAACCAGACCTCCTTATAATCATGTTAATATTACAGGAGGGGAGGCTGGGATCCTCAGGGCTGTTTGAAGATACAGCCCTAAAGGGCTTGGGTATGCCCAGTGGGATTTCTGATCAACAGCTTCCCAGTTCCTGTTGCATAACATGCTTTTGGAAGCCCTTCTCAGGGACAAAGCACTTGGCTATGTAGCATGATGGGAGGCTGCTCAACACGCACAAATCCAGAGGCTCCTTGGGCAGACAGAGCTAGCTGTTCTCTGGATACTGACATGGTCATTGTGACTAGGAGAATGGGGGGTGGGGACAAGACTGTAGGGAGCCTGATCACCTTGGGGACCTATGGAGCCTGGGAAGTCATGTTTTGTTTGGGTCCAAGCGGTGGAGGGGGGAAATCTTTGGCTGGGGACCCCCAGGCTGACAGCAGCCCCTGGATGCCAACCAATGATACTATAAACTCAACACTATACTTCAGTGGTGTGCCAGCCTTTTGAGGAACACTAACCATGAGCTGAGCCTCCTCTAAAGCAATGAGAACTAGAAGATGATATTTCGCTTTAAGAAAGTTGGGAGATCTAGGGACAAAATATACGTAATGCTGGGGATCTGCGATTAGATTCTCCCCTACATAATTTAGGTGCAAAAAAGCAGCTGTCGGGTGAGGGAGGAATGGGGCCTGCACAGAATGACAATGTGATGTGCAGAATACCCTTTAGAATGAGAAAAGCTTGCACAGCCACTGTTGTACAGATTATGTAAATAGCTTTCTCCTCCTTTGCAGTGCTCTGGAAACCCACGTGGAGCAGTGACTCATTCCAACACCAATATAAAAACAAGGCAGACTACTTATACATGGCTCCCACCTAACTCTGGCTGCCCCCCAGTGGTTATGTTCATGTAAGTTTCACGCATTCTTTTAAAACACTGGCGCCTTTCTTTAAATGTATTTTAGCTCCATCCCTTGTAGAAGCAGAAAGTTATTTAAATGCACATAAAAGCTGCCAAGAAACTAACACAAGCTTCTTTCTCACTGTTCACTTCACAATAATTTCATTCTTCCAGGATGTAGAGGGTGTGTTTTTTTAAGTAGAAAGAATGTTCAGAAATTGAATCAAAGCAGTTACAAACGGTCCCATCCCCATACACATAAGAAGTGCCCTGCTGGATCAGACAAGTGGTCCATCTCGTCCAGCATCCTGTTTGACACAGAGGCCACAAACAGGACATAGAGCCAAAGGCCTTCCCCTGGGGCTGCCTCTTAGCACAAATATTAAGAGGTCTGCTGCCTCTGAAGGCAAAGGATCCCTTTCATCATCATGGCTAAGATGTTGATGGACCTCTCCTGCACAAATCTGTCTCATCCCCTTTTAAAGTTACTTATGCTTGTGAGCACCACTATGCAGCGCATTTCACAATTACTTGTTCAGTGAGAAGAGTACTTCCTTTTTTCTATCCTAAATATATTGCCCCATCAATTTAATTGGGTGTACCAGAGTTCTAGTGTTAACTGAGAGGGCATTCTCTCTGTCCATTCTCTGCACCCCATGCATAATTCTGTAAACCTCTATAATGGCAGATTGCAAAGGTCTATTTCTCAATGTATATTATAAACTGTGTCTCCCCCCCTTCTCCACTTTTTTTGAATCAGGGCAACGGTCGCCCAGTCTCATGATTTCTACTGGACCAATGTCAAGTCTAAAGTGATCTGGAAAAGTGAGTAACTCTCTAAATTGCTATTTTGAAATAAGACCCTGCTTTCAAGGTCAGTAACTGCTTCCACTAAAATAGCACATTCTGCATGGAAAGAATACCTTCTGTTTGGGAGAGCAAGACAGCATTGCATTTGTCATTACAGATCTGATCCCTCTACTCGGAATCAAAAGGAGGGTTTCCTGTTTATCTAGCAAGTCTTGGCATTTCTGCCACAGTGCATGGTTCCCCATTAGTGCAAAAAGTGGAGTATGCACAAAGTAAATAAATTAATGTCACTCCTGAGCAGTGTTCCCTCTAAGCTGAGTTAGTGTGAGCTAGCTCACAGTTTTTTAGCCTCCAGCTCACACATTTCTGTCTTAGCTCAGGAAGGATGGCTCCAGGGCAAACTAATTTGTGCAGTAGCCAAATTGCTCGCTCACAACGTTAATGCCAGTAGCTGACAAAGTAGAATTTTTGCTCGCAGGACTCCATAGCTTAGAGGGAGCATTGCTCCTGAGCTGTTTAGAGAAAGAACAGAATAAAAATGAGATAAATCCAAGAAAATTGTTACAGCTATCATGATCACTAATTTGGACCTCCAAGTATATATATTTGACTAGCAGGAGGTTAGGAAGGATATCACCTGCATACATTATCTCTGTCCATCTGGTTGGTCTTGGAAACAGGGTGTAGTGGACTGAATGACCCTTGGTCTGATTCAGAAAGACAGTTCTTAATGTCCTTGAGTGAAGGTGATGGACAAAATTGAACCTCTGATTTTATATGGTTTCAACTTTAGCCCAGACTAGAAAAATCTTAATCTAATTTTCTTTCTATATTACAGATCCCAAAGCTACATGTGGAGCTGAGATGCTGGCCAGAACATGGCCTGCTGCAGCACTGTTACCATCTCTGCTGCTGATTTTCCTTGTATACCTTTAGAGACCCTTACAAGAAGGGCTACTTATTAGTTGTGAATGAATCAAAACAGAGTTATCATTTTTGTTTAAATATAGGGGGAAATCCTCTTTTCAGCTCTTCCCTAAGACATGAATGATGTTCCAGCAGGCAACTTTATATAGAGTTTCTGTTTCTTATAATATAGGGCAACTTTTCTAGCCCCTAGAATGGGAGATGTGAAAACAGGACATTTTGTATTTAGTGAAAATATGATTCCATTGGTAACACTATAGATTTTCAGTGTCCCAATAAATCCTATCACAGATTTTCCACATTATCTGGTTTGCTGTAGAACTTTTCAGATTTATTGTAGCCATGGTTTGAAACTACTGAATAAATGTCACTTAGTCAAGCTTACCCAGATCTGAAAAATTTATCTCAAGTTAATGGAACCATTAATGGTCAGGACTATAGTTAAGTCTGCCCTTACAGGAAAGAATATTTGAGCATACAGTGAAATAGATATGAAATGTTAACACACCTGATGCAGGTGTTAGCATAATCTTGCATGAAGAAGAATCCTTCAGAAATTATTGCCAGTACTTTGAATCAGGATTTGGAAGAGGAAATGGGGATGCCCAAGCACAAGACTATCAGTCTCCTCCTTAACCAGACGGATAGAAGCATGGCCTCCCCCTATATAGCTTAGGACCAAGGTATTTGAAGAACTACCTGCTCTTTTATATATAGCCTGGACACTGATTTCATATTTACAGGCCATGGTTTTGTATGTGTGTGTGTCTTCTCTCTCCCCCACCCCGCACTGAGGTAAGGTGTGCAGTCAGAAAGACAAGGCCTTCTCAGCTTTGGCACCCAAGCTTTGGAATGCCCATCCTGTCAATCATTGTTTGCTGCCTGCTATAGCATTTCAGGAATGTAGCCACATCAATCTGTTGTAGTAGAACAAAATTCGAGTCCAGTAGCACCTTAAAGGCCAACAAACTTTTTCAGGGTATGAACTTCCATGAGTCAAAGTTCACTTTGTCAGACAAACTCTCATCTGTATCTGATGAAGTCACCTAGGACTCACAAAACTTTATACCCTAGAAAATATAATTGGTCTGTAAGATGCTACTGGACTTGTATTTTGCCTGCCAGAGCTGAGCTAAGACTTAGTCTGCCCCTCCCCCATGTTTAATGGTTCATTTTCTTCACTTTTACTCTTGTTGCTACTGTTTTAATAGACTGGAGATCTGTTTTAGAATAATTTTAGCTTTTACCTTTTTAAATAGATACATACATTGTGAGCCCCACAACTTGAAAACTACAGATTTTGGGCTTTGCCACAGTATTTCAAGTGAGTAGCCATATCACTCTGTAGAAGCAGAACATGCCTTGAAACAACTGAAATTGGAAAACAGATCCAACTAGACTTGTACTATACAAGTATAGTATAGTACTAGACAGTACTATACTCAGTACTGGATGAAAAAACAACAACAGGTTTTCAAGCTGCTGAGACAAAGGAAGGGAGGGAGGAATTTTCCGTTCTGAATATAAAAGGTAATGATTTGTCAAAAGTCTCTCCAGCAATCAGTGAGACAAGCATAAGGTGGGGGGATGGGACAATGGACCTTATATTCATAAATTGGAGATTAATTTAAGATGATTCTCCACTCCTCCACATGCAGCTGCTGGTGTGACCTTGGATCAGTCATAAGTTCTCTCAGAGCTGTTCTCTCAAGGGCAGTTCTCAAAAGAGCTCTCTCAGCCCCACCTACCTCACAGGGTGTCTGTTGTGGGGAGGGGAAGGGAAAGGGATTGTAAGCTGCTCTGAGACTCCTTCAGGTAGTGAAAGACAATCTCCTCCTCTTTTTTATTTCTTGGAAGTTAGACATTTATGTCCCCCATTCTCAAGTCTATACTCAGTATGAGGTACACTTTGTCAAATACATATTTATTGATATTAGGCTGGTTCTGGTAGAATTCATCATGCCATGGGTTTAGTCAATGTTCTCCAAGCCCTGAAAAATACAAAGTTAGACAAAGTTAAAGGCTTCTGCCAGATATAACATTGATGCTATCCACCAGTTAACAAATCCCTTTCTAAGGAACTTCTCTGCTTATTTTTGCTAACAACAGAAAGGCAGTGAGATCCTATGCAGGCAATCTTTCTGCCTAGTTCCCCTCCCCCTGTGCAGTCTTCTGTTTCTCCCACATGCCCCCTAGGTTGTTTAGCAGACCCCCAGGGACAGCATGAGGGTTTAAGTATGAGGCTGCCATGAGAGGGGAGGAATCAGTGAAAATCACCTCCCTTTCTGAGTGGAAGTATCTGCTCCCCGCACTTCTTGGGTGCAGCATCAGGCAGGCAAGCTCTTTTGTAACATCAGGAGTTGAGCCATAACAGCTATTCTGGTTGGCATTGGCTCCGCTGCTGTGATGTCACAGAGAGTCCTGCTAGCTTCAGCCTGGGCAGACTGTTCTTTGACAGGCATCTCATGCCAAAGCAACGAAATCTGGCACAAGAGGGGTGAGAATCACTGTAATGGATCTTGTTGTGGAGTCACTTTACATACAAGGTTCCATAATGTGAAGATCAAATCATCAGCACCTAGGAAAAAAAATTGGTTGCTGAATTCTCTATTTTAGTACCTTAGAAACTCATCCATCTTATGGGAAATTTTCAGAGGGATATGGTTCTGTCCCAGTGATAATTTTAAAAAAAAAATCATCTACAAGAAAGTCCATGACTATGATGCAATCCACAATGGTTGACTAGGCTCAGAATGCCTCTTGGAGGAATGGATAAAGCACAGGATATGAATTATGAGGGCCCATGAGTAACATTTACCAAATTAAATAACATAAGCATCATGTGGATGCTCTGGACACTAAACAACACTTTGTGGACAAGGACAAGCCATTTGCAGAAAATAGACAAGACATCCCTTAAGTCCATAGAGTCCAGAGTCTATACTGATACTAGTCAAGAAAATCAGCCTTATTTCTTGTGCCCTGAACCCACCAGCTGCTCCCTGTGGCCTCCAAGACCCCCCTATGGTCATTTGCTTAGATAACAGTGGCTGTTTTTTGTGTATGCGCCCAGTATCATGAGGTAATATGGCAGTCAGTAGCCAGCAGCCATTGGAAGTGACAAAGAAAGGCTGGGAGAGGAATAATGGTGAACAGTTAGGAGCCAGTGATGTGCTGTGGCCGGTGTGTTAGAAAAGGAAGACCTGGGTTCAAATCCCTACTCAGCCACAAAGCACACTGGTGACTTCAGTCCCCCGTGTCTCAGCCTAATCTAACTCAAAGGTTATAAGGATAAAGCAGAGAAGGAGAGAATCAGGTACACTGCTCTGAGCTCATCAGAAGAAAGAGGAGAAGAAAAAGTAATAATTAGATGAGGCGGCTGTTGGGCTAATAAGGAACCAAGGTCTGTTAGCTGTGTCCTCAGGCATCATACAGCAACACTGCACAAAAGAAAGGAAAGCAGGAAAAATGAGCAAGAAGTGGACTTCATGAACTCAAGAAAGCATTCTTCCCCCCCACCCACAAAAGTCTAATCTGTGAATGAGCCAGTCTCACACCATAAATAATGTCAGCATCCAGAATTTCTACAACATTTCTTCATCCAGCACTCAGCACCGTTATTTTATCAATGACTTGTTTTCTGCCTGAAGGCCACATCCTACTCTGGTTTCTCCATGAGATGGATGGCTGTGAACACAGGGGTGGAAACTAGTCAGAGGGTCAAAAATACTGATTTTATTGACCAAAAAGAACCGGCCAGCAGCCTGCCATCCCTGGTGGAGGGCGTGTCAGGCTGGGTGTTGGAACACCCTAGACCGATTGTCCTGCGTGATTTCAATGTCCATGAGGACGATGTGGCCCCCACTCAGGTGATGGACCTAGTGTCATCCATGGTGGCACTGGGACTCTCCCAATATGTAACAACTCCCACTCGCCGAGCCGGACACACGCTTGATCTGATCTTCGCAGCAGGGGTCATGGTGGATTGAGTTGGACCATCTGAATGTTTCACCCCGATCCTGTTTGGGTGGCAAGCAGATTTCAGCTTGCCCACAGAGCCAAATGGACCCTATGTGGCTTCAAATGGCCCTGTGGGATCCAATGCCCCCCTGGTGGCTCATTAGATGAGCTTGTGGAGGATTGGCATAGCTGACTCTCAGCAGCCATTAATGAGATCACTTCTCGACGCCCTTGACGCCTTCACTCTAGACTGGCTCCTTGGTTTACCCGGGAGTTGCGGCTGATGAAGCGAAGGCTAAGATGGCTAGAGAGACAGTAGCGGTGCGCCTGCAATGAAGCCACAAGAACATCTTATAGGACGTTTATGAGATCCTATGAGGTGGCAGTCAAAGCCGCTGAGAGTATTATGCAGCCACGATTGCGTCTGAAAGTTCATGCCCAGCCTAATAATCGGTCTATGACTGTTCTGCCACAAGGCAGACCAAATGTTAGGGAATTGGACACTGGCTGTGAGGCCTTTGCAAGCTACTTTGCAGATAAAGTCCTCTCACTCCGCCGTAACCTCCCCACCACAGTTGATACAGTAAGTGAACTTGAGGCTCCATGAAGGTCTTCTAGTCAGGTTATGGATTATTTCAGTTTGCTCAGCCTGGAGGAAGTTGACAAACTGCTCTCAACTGTACACCCTACCATGTGCTGCCTTGACCCATGCTCATCATGGCTAATTAAAGCTGGCCGTGATGGGTTTCGAGATGTCCTAAGAGAGATTATTAATAAATCCCTCTCAGAGGGACAGTTCCCTAGGGCACTCAAGGAAGCTGTGGTTCATCCCCTCCTGAAAAAGCCATCTCTGGATCTGGCCGAATTGGCTAATTACCGGCCGGTCTTCAATCTGCCCTATTTGGGCAAAATAATTGAGAGGGCCATGGCACTTCAGCTACAGAGCTTTTTAGATGACACTTCTATATCCTTTCCAGTCCGGTTTCCGCCCAAGCCACGGGACGGAGACGGCACTGGTTGCCTTCATGGATGACCTCCGGAGGCATCTGGATCGGGGTGGATTGACAGTGATGTTGCTGTTGGATCTGGTTGGTGGCGTTTGACACGGTCGACCATCAGTTACTGATCCACCGCCTCGCCGACACTGGAGTCCAGGGGTCTGCCTTGCAATGGCCGGCTTTCTTCCTTCAGGGTCGGGGACAAAGGGTGGCGCTAGGGGAGCAGCTATCCCAAAGGCACCCACTAATATCTGGAGCGCCCCAAGGGGCGGTGCTGTCCCCAATGTTATTTGACATCTACATGTGCCTCCTTGCCCAGATTGCCCGGAGGCATGTGCTGGGATGTCACCAGTATGCGGATGACAACCAGCTCTATCTGTTGTTGGGGGGGCCAGTCTGACTTTACACTGGAAGATCTGGACCAGGCGCTGAAAGCTGTGGCTGGCTGGCTCAGACTGAGCCAACTGAAACTGAATCCGACAAAGACAGAGGTCCTATGCCTGAGCCAGGGTGGCCCAAGGGTAGGGATCCTACTTCCGATCTTCAATGGGGTGCCATTGGTGCCAAGCGCCGGAGGTTAGGAGCTTGGGAGTGCTCCTGGATGCCTTACTAACAATGGAGGGCAAGGTAGCAGCCACTGCCAAATCAGCCTTTTACCACCTACGGCAGATTAGGCAGTTGGTTCCCTTCCTCGAATGCAACGACTTGGCAACAATGATCCATGCAATCGTCACCTCAAGATTGGACTACTGTAATGCTCTCTACATGGGGCTGCCCTTGACCCAAATCCAGAAGCTACAGCTAGTGCAAAATGCTGCAGCCAGGCTTCTGATGGGCCTCCCTATGCGGGAGCACATCCAGCCTGTGCTGAAAGCACTGCACTGGCTGCTGATAGCATACCGAATTCGCTTCAAGGTGCTGGTACTTACCTTTAAAACCCTTTATGGTCAGGGTCCCACATACCTGAGGGAATGCCTTTCCCCACACGTTCCCCAGAGAGCACTGCGCTCAGGGTCACAAAGGTCCTAAAGATGCCAGGCTGGCCACAACCAGGGCCAAGGCCTTCTCAGTGGTGGCTCTGTACTGGTGGAATGTACACCCTACCATGTACACCCAGAAGAGATCAGGGCCCTCAGGACCTTTTAAAGTTCCACAGGGCCTGCAAGATGGAGCTCTTCCACCAGGCCTTCGACTAAGGAGCCGCACCAAATAACATCAAATAACTGAGAAGAGACAGTGCCCTGGTCCTTGGCTTACCACCGCCTGTGCTGTTGCCTAAATATAGAGACCAAGACGAGCCAACCACCAATATAGATCATCTGACTACAACACTAGTATTGGTTCTGCCTTCTGTAAGCATTGTTATAAGTACCTGATCAGTTACTAGCACTTTATGATAATGTAGAGTTTTATTATTTGTTTTAAGATTGTATATAATTTGTTACCTATATGTTTAATCTCTTTGTAAGCCGCCCTGAGCCTGCTCCGGCAGGGAGGACAGGGTATAAATAAAGTTATTCACGAACTCTTTTGTTTCTCAACAGTTTTCTGCATTGCATCCACAAGCATTTTTCCCCTTGTCCTCTTCTTCCATTGCTTTCTCAACTCCTTCTAGCATGAGCTGTGCCATGCTGAATCCCACAATATCCATTGCCTCTACTTTCATTGTCTCATGTTTTAAGAGGTTAATTATGTTTCTATACTTTGTGGAAGATTTCACCAAATCACTTTTACTCTTAGAAACAAAGTCCTTAAAGTACTTCATAACTAAACTGAAAACAATCTGTCTTCTCACTGGGAAGTCATCATGTTTGCCCAAAAATTCAGTAATGAAAATGGAAAAACACAAACTGCATTCACAAAAATCAAAGAAATACTGACTTTACTGACCAATTTTTTAAAAAAACTGACAAATTACTGACCAAGATGAAAAAACTGACTTTTACTGATTTTACTGACCATTTTCCACCCCGTGAACAGATGTTAAGGGGTAGAACCCAGCCTAGAAGTCATTCGGGGACCAAGGTAGAGGTGAACTGCTGATGATGAATTTATATCTTTCAGTACTAGTTTTGCCCCGACCACTTTGTCCCAAGACGTCTGTTCAAAACTCACCTTTGATTCATAGTAGCGATTGGTTTGGGAAACACGCCTGTCCCTTTCCATTAGGTACCACTGATAGGGACTCCGAGCAACTCTCTTCTCCTAGGCACACAGAAATGCATCAGAGAGTATAGAGGGAAGAATAAAGAGAAATGATATCATGTAACTGGGGGGAAATTAGATACAAAGTAAAGCTCACATCAGAAAGAGGAATTAAGTACAAGTGATGCTGGCTAAGGTGCAAAGCTTTTTCTGCAACGATGACATCACAGTCTAACATGTGACCAATGTTCCCTCTAAGCTCTGAAGTCTTGTGAGCAAAAATTCTGCTTTGTGAGCTGCTGGCATTAAAGTTGTGAGTGAGCGATCTGGCTACTGCATAAATCAGTTTGCCCTGGAGTCCTCCTTCCTGAGCCGAGGCAAAACTGTGTGAGCCAGAGGCTAAAAAACTGTGAGCTGGCTCACACCAACTCAGCTTAGAGGGAACACTGCATGTGACACAATCAAATTCATAGGTAAGGATACAGTTCAGCAGAGAAGACGATTAAAAATGTTTCTGTACCATTTCAGATTGCTAGTGTGGGTTTTTATCACTGAATGTTTTCCAATTTTAACATACAGAAAACTAGCCATGTTGTGTAATGGGCAGGGGTCATTTCCTGCGGGAGCGCACAGGAGTGGAGCAACAAGCACATGCAACAAGCCCCACCCCCTGCTCCCAGCAGCCCTCAGTTGGTCCACGAAGAGCAAGAGGCAGCCAGGTAAGTTGCAGAGCCCCCCCTCCGGCCCGCCTTCAGGTACAAGCTCTCTCTCCTCTGTGAGGGCAGATCTGTGCGTTCCCCCCCCCCCAAAGCTAGCAATCCAAAACAGTCCAGTGGAACCTTTAAGACCAAGTTTTATTCAGGTACAAGCTCTCCCCTCCTCTGTGAGGACAGATCTGCACTGCAATAGATAGCCGTCCAGTGGAGCCTGAGTGGTGGATGTTGCCTTCTGACACAGTTCCGGTGATGTCAGGAGGTGTGGCATATGCAAATAGGTTATGCTAATGTGCTCCTGTACCTCTTTTTCTACAAAATGCCCCCTGGTAATGGGTAAACCACTATACTTGGTCTGTGGGTCCTGGTTCAAATGTCCAGTTAGCTCTGAAACAGCTTTTACTGTTGTGATTTCAGATATTATGTTTTTATCATACATTTCTATTAAGGAGCTGGAGGTAGTGTGTACAGGCCTCTTTGTCCCTAAGTTATCAGTCCTCTGACTGGCCAACAACATCCACTAATCTAGGGCAGTTAAGCAGAGATCTAAACTCAGATCTAAGCAGTCTTATTTATTCCATTCTTATTGCACCCTTCCTCCAAGGAGCTCATGGTGGTATACATGGGTTGCCTCTCCCCTGGTTATTAGTGTCACAACAATCCTGTGAGGTAGTTTAGGCTTAGAAATGAAGTAATTAGCCTGTTGCCTTGCTACCCAGTAAATTTCATAAAGGATCTGTACCCAGCCCTATTTGGTCACTTTAACCAGTCCTCAATGCAGGCTGCTCTGTCAGTCACTTCATACATGGCACAGAAAGGCTACAAAACGAGACACTACCTTGAGATAAAAAGAAATTCTTAAAGTGAGATAGGATGGTGCCGGTGGGTGGTTCAAGTGTCAAAATGCTGGGAGATTAGGGTTGCTAGGTCCCCTCTGGCCACAAGCAAGGGATGGGGGGGGGGGGGGTTGCAGATCCAGGTTGGGAAACTCCTGGAGATTTGGGGATGGAGCCTAAGGAGGATAGGGACCTCAGTGGGGTACAATGCCCTAGAGTCTACCCTCCAAAGCACCCATCTTCTCCAGGGGACCTGAGTCAGATTGAGGTGACGAAAAAGGAGGTCCTAAAACTGATAGATAACTTAAAAACTGATCACCAGGCCCAGATGGCATACATCCGAGAGTTCTGAAAGAACTCAATTGTGAACTTGTGGATCTCCTGACAAAAATATGTAATCTTTCCTTAAAATCAGCCTCCATTCCTGAGGACTGGAAGGTAGCTAATGTCACTCCCATCTTTAAAAAGGGTTCCAGAGGAGATCCGGGAAATTACAGGCCAGTCAGTCTGACGTCGATACCGGGTAAATTGGTGGAAACCATTATTAAGGAAAGAATTAGTAGGCACATAGATGAACAAAACCTATTGAGGCAGACTCAGCATGGGTTCTGTAAGGGAAGATCTTGTCTCACTAACCTGTTAATGTTCTTTGAGGGGGTGAACAAACATGTGGACAAGGGGGATCCAATAGATATTGTTTACCTTGACTTCCAGAAAGCTTTTGATAAAGTTCCTCATCAAAGGCTCCTAAGTAAGCT